ATTGCTGTCTGAATAGATGAAGAATAAAAAATGTTATCTATATGCTGAGTGTATAAAAAAGTATATATATATATATATATATATATATACTTTTTTATACACTCAGCATATAGATAACATTTTTTATTCTTCATCTATTCAGACAGCAATGTCGTTGTGCCACTAACTATCCATAAACGGCACCGTCTCTAAAGCCGCGTTGCAAAATATTAATGGCGAGTACGAACGTTCGTGAAGACGCGAACAAACAATACGTGCGACAAATCGACAGATTCGGAATCTTCATGAAGTTTGGAAGATGAAGGGAAATGTGAGGAATGGGAGGAGGAAGAGGATCGGTGGGATGATGAGAGAAATTTTCGACGCTAAGGATGGTTCGATGCACGTATATGGGTTTTTGTGCGCAGGCGATCGCACACACGCACACGCGCGCGCGCGCGCGCGCACACACACACACACACACACACACACACACACACACACACACACACACACATACTCACACACATACACATATACACGGGCGAAACGATCGTTACTTGACGGGCAGTAATTTTGGATACACATACTTAGTATTTTCAGTAAGGAAACATAGTTAACGTCCGTTACGTTCATATCCAGCAAGCACAAATATGCGATATTGTATACGTATTATTTTTACCGATAATGAGTTTATCCCTCTTGCAAATTTCCTCCGTTTCCGATTTATACGCAGACATCGGCTCGCATTTCCCTCCGCGATCATCTCCGAGAATCATCGAAGGATACCCACCGTCGATCCCGAGCGACTATCTTCCCGCACACTCGCGCGCACGACAATGCGATATTAGATCACCGATCGGCGACGATCGGGAACGCTTACGCTACGGATAGGACACATCCACATGTTAAAAATACGTTTAGTCTCGCTATTGGTATTCGACGACCTCATGCACGCTCATCCTCGCTCGATCATCGCTGATCCTCTCACTCCGCCTCTCTTTCACTCTCGTCATTCTCTCGCCATACAAGAAAAGCACCACTTTATAATACAAATTCGTCTCGTCCTTAATTGTCTAAAGCCGCGAACGGAATTCAAGCTCGAGACCGCACGATCGAGTCCGCACGATCGTTGGCTCCTAGTCCTTCTTCAAGGATACTGTGAGGATCGTCTCTCCTCCGATTCCTCTTCCTCAATCCTCTGTCACTTCTCGCCGAGGCCATTCATGGTTGAGATTTATTTTCGCGCTCGCCGCCGCTTTCTGCATCGTATTCGTCATACGCGCGAATACCGTACTTGCATCACACCCGCCGTTGCTTTTTTTCTAAGTACGACGAGTTAAAATATCGTGGGCAGCGCACACACGTAGCTCATCAACGTCGTTGTCAACGTCATCGTCAACGGCATCGCTCCTCCCGATTCTCACTATCCTCGCATTTATCCTACGCCGAAGAAGGCTGCTATGTCAATGTAAAGCTATGTATTGACTAGTTTCTCTCACTCTCTCCCTTTCTCGTCACTCTCAACTATGAATGGCCTCTTCTTCTCTCTTCTTTCTCCTCACTCTTCGCGTTATAACTATAATTACCTTGTATCGATGCGGTGTACCGTGCACGATTCGCACGCGCGGCACCACGGTCTATCATTTACTTTAGGCCTCGAGCGCAAGCTCCACGAGCTTGCCGGCCTTGCCTCGTACGAACGTAATCAGTAAACTTCACATCCTGGAATTTAATTCAAACCTGCAAGCTGATTATTAGCTGCGTTCACGTCGCGTCGAACTCTCTCAGAGGAAATTTCGCAATGTTCCTCCTCTTTCCCTTCCAAGCTCGCGTAGTCCGAAATCCGGCACACTCTCGATTCTCATTCTCTCCTCTCTCGACGTCGCTTATAAGGCTTTCGCGGATTTGCCAATCGCGGATCGGTCGCGCAGCTGGTCCGTGGAGCGAATACTCGGAGTGAAACCCGCGTTCCTCCGCGTGCGCTTAACGCTCTTACACCCTACGTACCCTATACCTCGTGGTATATATATTTATTATATATAATATAACGTTATAGTGTTTTTGGCATCTTTGAAATACACAAATAGACTTTGGTATAAAACTTTTTGATAGTTTTCAGTACGTTTATATATATATGCGCGTGCATACATATACGGACGCTGCGCTACAGCGGCATTTTTTTTACCTCCTTCCGTCGACTTTCACGTTTCCGGTTTTTTTTTCTATCTCTTTACCTGTCGGTGTCGCTCACTCGAAAGTCCCGCGGCTTCGATACTGGACAATGTCCCCGTGCGAAGGGACGATACGACTGACTCTCAAATTGCTCTAGCACATTTTATCTAACCACCAGAGCTTACAGGACGGCGCGCCTCTCCTCCTGCGTCGTTTCTTGCTCGACTGGTCGACGGCCTTCTTCACGAACCTAATGTTGTAAGGATCCTCCGCGAGCTCGGGATACTGTTGCGCGTCGTGTATGTACTCGCCCTCGTAATTAGATGCGAGGCCGACTTTCAGTATCTCATCCTGCTCGGCGACCATCCACTCGACGGATGTGGGAGTGTTCGTTTTAAGGGCTTCACGTTCCCGATGCCATGCCTTCCTAATAGCGGTCGCCTTAGCGTGATGCAGTAGTCTCTGCTTTTCCTTCTCTGCCGTGGTGCCGTAACGCAAGTTCACCACGTAGCTGGCACCGTGTATCTTCACATCGATTAACGAACTACTGCCACTACCATTCTCGTTCTCATGGAACGTGGTGTTTACTTGACCTCCTAATCGTTTCAGCTGACCACGGTCCTCGCTGGCACGCCAGGTTTCCTCTTTGACGAAGTAGAAGGCGTCCTGCTGTGCACTGTGCACGACAAACGTAAATGGCAAGAAGTATGAGCGGTTGAACACGGATGTGAATACGTCGCCATAAATAGCGTTAGCGCTGGGTACGCTGGACACCACCGCCTGGCCATCAGCGGTTCTCGACACC